CTGGAATCTGAAGATACATGTCACTTAGGTCGATTTTGGAAAATATCTGACCCCCACTAAGTTGCGCAAAAACCTCTTCCAGCCCGGGAGAAGGTAATGATAGCTTTTGAAGGCAAAACTGCCTAAACTACCAGAAAATACATCTGGGAATTTACTTTTTAATTCTTCTTTAGACTTTCTGTTTCATTAGTAAAACCTTTCACTTTTTGGCAAAACGAATTGATCGGACTGTTCCATAAATTGAACTATTCCATCCAATCTGTCCCAAATGGGTTATTTGTGTTTTTCATGACAAAAAGTCTTAACCTCAAGGTTTTATCTTTTAACGATGCATTTATTGCAAATTCCCCATCAAATTTTATTTTCTGTCCTCCGAGTGATTTTTTCAAGTAGTTTCATTTTAAAGTCTTTCATTTTGATTTTTCCCAATGAAGTCTTGGTGAATTTTAATGTGCAATTTTGGCAATATCTTTTCTTGCCAAAGTTGTGCCGGAGAACGTTCGTTTCTTTGATTTGCAGCCAAATTCTTGACATCAAAATGTTGCACTAGTGATGTTTTCTGATTTGGGTAAACCCTCGTCACTAAAATGTTATATTTTGCCAATACTTGTAAAAATGTCATATTGATCCTTGATCCTTGATGCCAAAATGTTGTAATTTTGACTAATCTTCATCACCAAAATGTTGTAAATAGGGAAGGTTACTGAATAGACTTATCAAACAAAAATTGGTAATGAACGATAATACTTATGACAAGAACAACACATATAAGATTCGCCAGCAGCACGTAGAAGTAGTAGTCAAGTGAATTTCATAATGAATCTCCAACTGCAGACCAACATACAGTATTTAATACTGTATTTATGTGAATGGGAATATACCTATTATCGTTCATAGGTATGCTACAACAAATTTCCTCCACACCTGCTCTCACTTTATATTGAAGACAGTATTTCTGATATTTCCATTTTTCTCTACTAATTGGAACAGTAACTGAGGCTTGATCTGCCAAATGCCACTGTTCCTTCTAGCGCTTTCTGTCTCAACCTTTGCTCTGCTGTACTGAGTTCATGTGGGTGGTACTGTCCACTTTCTCCCAGTTTGAACCTCCATTCCTGTTTCTGCAACTTTAGGATCTTTTGATTCCCTATATAGGATTGCCTCTCTTGTCTTTGCCACTTTAAACTCCTCAACTAATCCTCTTGAAGGGGAGTTGCAATGCATTCGAAACTCCATACAGAGCCGCACTGCTCAAACTCCCCAGTAAACTGAGCCAATTTCTCAAGTATCTGCTCACTTTTTTCTCCATCTTCTCAATTGTTGTTGATGCCACTTCATATAATGCCAGGGACTACAGAATCTTTGGCAGAATGGTATATTGATATATCCATGTCTTAAAACAGCCTGACAGCCCTGATTTGTCCACTTTGCTCGACATTGCTTTGAGGTCTGAGTAGCATCCATATTTTTTAAATTAGTATTGAATATTTTTCCCAGACACTTAATTGGTTTTTCTTTTAATAAATAGTTCCTGCAATCTTGAAACCGAACTTTTCTATCACAATCCCTCTCTTTAGTACTAATGACCTTGAGTTTGTCAGTTTAAACTTCATTCTTGCCCAACTCATTATCTTTTCTAAACCCTACAATATCCAACAACATCCAAGGACAGTAGATGTGGTAACTGTCAGGTCATCTATATATGCACAAATTGGGGGTTGTCATACTCAGTTTCTCATCAGTGGATCTCAACACTCAACTTCTGCTGATTTTACTAACATGTTCATGGTTAAAGTAAATAGTATGATGAGATTGTACATCCAGTTATAACTCCTCTTTCTAGCTGATGCTAATCAGAAGATATTAAATCAGTGATTGTTTTTATATTAAAATCATTATCAGATTCCTTACACAAATAGGAACATGGTATCTTCTGAGAGCTTCCTCAACTAATTTGTGTGGAACGGATCCATATACATTAGCAAGGTTCACAGCCACAGTACAACTAGATCACCCTTCCCTTCTTTTGTTTCTCTTAGGAGCTGTGTTATCACGACAATATGCTCCAGACAACTTGGGATACTGGCAATCCCTCCCCTCTGTACTGAAGTATTTATGTAATTGTTGGCACCAAGATAATGCTGAAGTTGTTGGGACAAGATGCTTAAGAAGAATTTGTTCTCAGTGTCCAACAAAGAAATCATTCTAAACTGTTCAATTCCATTCGAGTTTTCTTCTCTTGGTAATCTACACTGCATTAGTGAACCTCCACTCTTCTGCAGCATAACCTCTTCTACAAATTGTTTTTAATATCTTCTAGAGATGTAATTGAATATTTGGATATCTCTTATAAACACTGCTGGGTCATGAGGCTAGCTACCATTATGATCTCCTTCAATGTAAGTGCCCTCAAGTCAAAACCTGTTTCTGGTGGTTCAGGGTGCACTATTGCATTGTTTTCTCCTAAATTATTTCCTCTCTTGGTCATCAAGTGTCGCTCATAGGAAAGAATTTATTTCTTCTGCGGTACACTCAAGATTACCATTTCTCGTCTTTGAGTAATCTCTTCATAAAACCAAAAGGGTTTGAAATAAAGGCTGATCTTTTCCTAGCCCTCTCTTTTCTGTGACATTCTGCTCTACAAACGGTTTTAAGTTTTTCCCTCAATATATCACAGAGTTCCAAAAGAGGCACTTTCTCCATCTCATTTGCTTGTTTGTCTCTTTAGAGATTTAAGTTTGTGAATTTTCTTTTCCTAACAGTTATTTCTGGGTTCTTTCTTGTGTTCCATTTGAACATAACTGAATCTCTCTCTCTGAAACATAACTAATGATGATAGTTGTCATTGTAAATTATCTGTGCCCCTTTTCAATATCATTCTTAACATATCACTCACATCCTGATTGAACTGTTGCCATTCGTCCTTCTGGTGTGCAGTGGGCCATTTAATTCGCTTCCTGGTCACTCTCTCTGGATTTCAAGAGACCAGCACATGGAAGGACTTGGTTCTGTGGTGTGTATCCTGGCCATGCTCATCCTCCGTCTCACCACGGGACTTACCTGTGTGTTGTGTCCGCCTCTCTCTTTCTCTCCAGACATTTCATCCTGGCCTGGTGGATTTTGAGATCATGGGGTTTCTTACATTCCTTCCCACAGATGCATTTCACTTTCGTAATCCTGGTGTAATCCTTGGTCGAAAGCCCTTCATCCAACCTGACGGAGATCTCATTCTCTCCACCTCTCAGGATCCCCTGGGGGTACCTATTTCCTATAAAACTCATAGCCAACAATGGTTTTTTCCTAGTGGAAGATGCAAGTAGGGGTGCTGACCCAGCTTGCCCAAACTGTCATCTTTCCAAGCTGTCACTGTCACCTGTCTCTCCAGTTGTCACCAAAACTGTTCTCTGGTCATCATCTAGTCTATTCCTAGAAGTCATTGAATTATCCAGAGTTCCATTTTGCAAAATACATCTATTGAATACACATCATCAGTGATGTTTCTACCCGAGGTTCATTAGGGGTTTTGAGTCTTTCAACATCATACCCCCTCTCCACGGTGACCCAGCTGATACTGATTGGGTATCGACTTGGGTGTACTTTCCATTAGCTACCATTTTTTTCTATCTTCCCTACCACACACTGTGACTCCTCCTGGCAATTTATAGTCTAATCCTAGATAATTTCCAGTTCACCAGCAATGTACACTCTTCCATAAAAAAAGGGAAGCAAACACAACCAGTTTCTACCTGCTAAGGAACATGGCAATGCGCTCAGCTTGAAGTGGTATGTAAGGATTCGTTTCCCTCACTGAGATATATACATATGTATGTACACACACAAAAATGTGCTCAAGAATAACATTCAGCTTACTCTTATCCCATTTCCATTCATGTTAATCATCTGCTTGAAGAAAAAAAAATATTTGACCCTCCCCGTATGAGTGGCATGCACACATACACACACATATATATATATATATATATATATATATATATATAACATACACAACTACAAAACCGTAAGCCTGGTAGGGGGACAAATAGGTGCTAGATCTTAGCCACATTATTACCCGTAGGTAACAATGGTTCAGGGTACCCTAATTTTGTCCCTTAGTTGAGACTCCATTGTCAGGTGTAGTTTTAGGTCATACCCAAGACTTAGCCCCAACAAAAACAATAATCATAAAAAAAAAAATCAACAATAAGAAAATAAAAATATCAACCACAACTTCCTTTCATCTTCTTACTGACTACCAATCACTTGATCTTTTCAGCCATAAACATCTAGAGACTTCTTCTGATGCCATTATTATTGAGTGAATAGCTTTGTTTTTTTTCCAAACCTGTTACACCTAATTTTGGCAATATCTCATAATGTGTGTACTCTAGTAGGAATCAAACCTGTATCCTACACAGAACCATCATATAGCCTGATGTGCTATACCATTTAGCTACAAAGGAAGCATCTAGTTAGCAAGGTCATATTACTATAGCTAAATGGTATAGCATGTCAGGCTATATGACAGTTCGGGTATAGGATACAGGTTTGATTCCTGTTGGAGGACACATATTTTCTTTGAAATTTCTTGACAATTCAGGCTGGGAAATGTTGTTTAATATTGTTTATTATAAACAGAGCATTTCCTTAAATATTTGCATCTATAAAAATAATGTATAAACAGAAAATATATTAAAATAATTGTCAGACTTAGCCCATTTCCTAATATATATTTTTCATAGAAAATATATATATATATAGATTGTTCTGAAAAATTCTCAGTGCAACCTGTGACTTCAAATCTGATTAAACATCAAAATTTATTTTGGTCAGGCTGAGAACTTTGTAGCATGCCACTAGTATGTATGAGAAAGTTAAATGCCCTTTTAATATTGCTCCTTTTTTTATTAAAAAATATTTAAAAAACAAAACAAATAAGAAAGACAAAAATAATCATGCCTGCAGTTACACTAACTTCACCAACAAGGAAGAACTGCACTTACACTCAGTGAGATGGTGGCAGGCTTAGAAAGAGGTCCTTCGTTCTTTTCAAAAATGTGCTCAAGACGGATTAACAATTTGTGTCTTCCCCATTGTTGTAAAGTCAAAAGGTTTATATTCGGAGGAACATGAGATTTGATGGCTTGCCACTGGAATTAAATAAATAATTAATTATATAAATTCAAATCAAGAAAAATTTGGAGTGAGTAATATTTTCCATGAAGAGAGTTGTTACTTCTCTTCTATAGTCACAATAACTGGATTAATTTTCTTTCAAAGATTAAAAATGAGAATATAATGAATGACTAATAGAGAGCTCATCACTGGAGTTTTGCAAGGATCTAGTAAAGACAAACCAAATTAATCAAAATACATAGCATTTGACATGTTCTAACTGGTTGATGATACATAACAATTTACAATATATTGTATTCTTTTAGCTTTTAATACATTAATATTCATTTACATTAAGGATTTCAGGAATACTTTCAGTTAAGAGCATATTTATGTATTAAGTATCAGCTTGCAGAAAAATATATTTGTAAATCATTCAGACAGTGTTATTAATGGTATCAACACTAAACCTCTTTATTATATGCATAATTGTTTATACATCAACCATCATGTGATTTTTACTATTAATAATTATCAAATTGTGCTATTTTATACTCTTACTTTACAACTCCATGATTTCCATCTTATGTACAAATGTCTGACATATCAACATTTTCATTGGAGAATTTATACTTAATTTAAGATATTTTTTACTATTTTCTTTCACATTTACAGAAAGATCTTTAGGAAACTTCTTTTTATACTTTTAAAAAATACATCAATGTAAAAATATTTGCATCTGGATTTGCATAAAGAATCAAAATAGTATAAAATCATTTACTTGAGTGTGGAAGATGGAAGACCAATTTTGGGGTGAAGTCTTTAGTTCAGAAAAAGACACAGTTGGTTTAAAGAAAATTTCAACTGCCTGTTGTCGATGAAAAACTGTAGATGGTTCTTTTCTATCCAGATAAATATAATGTTTCCCTGGAAAATGAACAAAAAATGCTTAAAAATTAAAATGAATAAAACTAGATTTGCAAAAGCAATGTTAGACATTAGCAAAGACAGGTTTTATTAATTTACTTCAACATATATAGACTCACACTATTCACATTGTGCAGACTTGTTGTCCTCATCTTTGTTGCCATATTCATGACATTTTGGCGATTGTACACTTAAACTTTTTTCAGGTGATTGGAATTTTGAACTGAACCCTTTATTTTGTATATTGTTCTAGTTCCACATACTATTCCTCTTCTGGACATTTCAGTATCTTTTAACTCAACTCTGCAAGTTTTTGTTCAACTCTGCTGTTGCCAAGTATTGAACTTACAACTCTTTTGGTCAAGTCACTGGATTCAACCAACACTTAACCACTGAACCTTGAGGGCATCAGTGTATGAATTTTGGGGATTTATAAACCTAATGTCTCAGTAAGCATCAGTTCAAGAAATCAAATGAATTTTGAAGAAAGACTAGAAATTTTAGTCTTTTATGTCAGTATGATATTGTCTCTGAAATAATTATAAATAACTATGAAATTTGAAAATTATTTTGACTGTCACTGAAAAGATAAAAGCAAAACACAAAGAAAAAACATTGTATACACATTACTATGAATCACTTTGATTGTAAAACTCACCAAATTGGTATTTAAAGAAAAACATTTCATCAACTTGAAATTTGAAAAACTTAAGGTAAGAAGCCAAAGGAACTTAGTTCTACTTACCTCTAACTATCAATCCATGGCCATCTACTCCAGTTTCATTTAATGGTTCTCCAACACCTCGACCATCATCAAAGAGAAGTCTTCGATGAAGCTAAAGTAAAACAAATACAGTACCAATATTAAGATGTTTCATTTAAAATGCATTATGATAGACAACATTCAATCTACATATTGAATATAAAACTATTTTCCAAGATGAATTGACAATGCAACCAACTGACTGGCAACCAATTGTTCTAGCACCACTTCTACAAAATGAAAAGAGTAGTTTTACCTACCATCAATTCCATTTGTCCATCTTGTAAACTAGAACCTCCCTGAGAGCGGTCAGTCAATAGGGTCAGCTGTATATCTTTGTTCACATCCTGTTGATAAAATACAAATGCAATTGAGACCTTAAAAAGAAAATTTCCAATGTTTTATCATTAAAAACCCTTTAAAGAATTCAAAGAAAAGGAAAATGTTTTCAGATTGGTTTCAGAACTTGCTTGTGAGAAGAAACAATGCAAAAAAGCCAATGTAAACAAACTATTTTCAATTTTGCCAGGAGAGAATCTTTCATGAAGTTTCCTTGCAATATTTATTTACATATCTCTACATATTCACATTAATTAAAATGATGATTTCCACTGTGATATAACTTTTTTTTAGCAATGAATATATAAAATAGATGAAATAAAGTTTATTCTTGTAAAAATTTAGGAAAAGATTGTTTAGATATTCACTCTGCTAACATTCTATTGCAGTTTGTCATTGAAAAAGACCATGTTCAGAGGATTGTTGATGAAATACTTTTCATGTCTTTTCCTTTAGTGTGAAAGTAACCAGAATTAGAGTAATTTTAATTTAAACTGCAACTAAAATTCATGTATAGTCACAAATTAGATACTGTCAGAAATTAAAATAATCTTAATTTGTTTGTAAATTTTACTGATTTTTCTTTTTGTAATATAGTAAGTAGTCAAAAATATTTTCATTTTAGAAAATTTCAGATTTACAAACAATTATAATTTTGATTTAATAATGTTATAAAATAAAATAAGACATATCTCGGCTGATTTACAGGCAAATACTCAAGAGCGAGAACCGGATGTGAACGGGACAAAGCCCCGTCACAAAATGACCATTATCTTTCTTCACAAATGTTTCCGACACACGTGTTCCGGTCGAAAAATAAAATAATATTTAAAGCGTTCTATTTTTCGTCCAATAAAAATGCTTCCCTCCTAATTATACTCGCTTTGTTTTTCGAGCCTGTTAAGCCATAAAAAAAAACGCTATAAAAGGGGTCACACGGAAGTTCAACAGGCAGTCAACAGGTGGCCAGGGAACTGACCTGTCATGGTAAGCAGCTGTCAGCATGTCAACATGTGTGAACTACTATGAGAGATCGACCTAGATCCGAAGCCGGCTTATGAACTTTACCACAAGGTAGCTGTCCCAAACCCACATATTCCTGTTGAAATAAACCACGTAAATCTATTTCTGCTGTTGTCGTATTTCTTTCTTGCAACCATACGCTTGTCTATAACACTGGTGTCAAGCGTACAGCAAGAGAAAATATGGCCGACTTACGAGCTTCACCCGAGCTGAACTATTTACTCTCATCAAGGAACAGAAAACACTACTATTCAACTTGAAAATGGGACCAACACAGCTTTCCGAAACCACGATACAAGAAATTCAAGCCGACATAAACGATATGCTGACTGCCATGAAATAAACTACTTCATCACCTCCCACCGCTCAAACAAACGGTGATTACAGCTTAATGATGCGCCAACAAACCATACACGACATATTGAAGCTAGAGAGAACTTTTCACCCTGGACACGACGTGAACCGATTCATCATGGCCCTAAACAAAGTATACACAATCCATGTCATGCCAGAACTCAGCACCTATCCCAGCCTAGAATGCGAATTCGTCAAGTCTGCTAAAGATTTACTGGACCAAAGTATCTTTCAGCAGATGGTTGACTCAAAAAAGGACATATCCACCTTCGAACAACTGAAGGAATACTTATTAGGAGCCCACGGAAGCCAGATGACTAACTTCCAACACCTCAGTCAAATCTGGGATCTGGAACGGCGAGACGGCGAAAAATTAACAGACTTCACGGGTCGACTCGAAAACACCCTTAGAGAGGCAGCCGTCCATATAAAAAACAAATACAAAAAAGACAAAAATACAAACTTAACAGTTGATCATATGCTAATGAGCGAAAAGGTGAAAATTTGGAACTCAAATCTCTACCCACATCTCGTCAAGACAATGGACAACCACTATTCAGCCATTGGCATAGCCTCCGAAGCTCAAATATACCTTGATCGCAGTGTAAAATCCAACGACACGACTTCGCACAACACTGTGTATTTCACACAGAAACCACAGCGGTCAAACCAAAGAAATGCGCCACTCCGACCCAGCAGGCAACTAAACCCACAGCAGATGGGTCTCACTAACCCTCCCAAACATGGCCGCCATCTGACATGCAGAAACCATCAGCACACACCACAAATCAGCGTGTGCAAGAACTACCTCAGAGGTCGCCCCTGCCACCATGGACGCAACTGTTATATCGCCACCCACCTCGCACTCGGGCACAGGCCTATATCGCCACAACGAATGACAATATACAAGCCATAAATGATGTGGAACAGGATTTTCGCTTCGGGCAGGACGAGATGTGATGCCTCGTTCGCTATGCCCCTACGTCAGCCATCACACCTTCAACTTTCAAGGACTCGCTCACCATTCACCGCTCGTCCAGTCCACCTTCAACTTCAGGGACATCACCTTCTCTGGCATCGCAATGCTAGACTCTGGAGGCTCCACCTGCATCGTGCCAATATCTCAGTTACCCAGAGAAGCCAAGAAACTCATGACCCGCTCCGACGTTGTAGTAAAAGGAATCAACGGCAGCACCACCGCCCTCGCGAATTGACTTGCGACATCACCATCGGCAGTCGAAACTCACCTATATTCAAAAAGGTTAATGTGCTGGTAACTACCCAAACCACACCGACCCTGATCGGCCAAAATATCCTACGTCACAACACGCTCGATTCCTATCTAATCGACAACCAAAATGCGACTATAGAATTCAGACACACACTTTCCTCAGGATACACAACACACACAGCCGCAATCATATCACCATCATCGTCAACCAACGATCCAGCATATGGCGCCCAAGCTGACATCATCCAAAACCAGCCTACTATGGAAGTACAGCCCAACATCCAGACACTGGATCAAAAGCTAACCTGGCTAAAGCATAACACAAGACGAACTAGAGGCCACTGCAAACTTACTCATTTGCTACGCTGACATTATCGGCACAGAGAGCAGCAGCAAAGGCACATTCATCCGACCCATCTGCATACCAACCAACGGCCAGTCTCGCAGCCAGAAACAACACCCGATAGCTCAGGCTTTGGAAGCAGGCGTGAATGCCGAAATTAAGCGTATGGCTGATGAAGGTATCATTGAAAACTGCAGCGACTCCAAAGGCATCAATAGCCCTGTATTTGCCGTGACGCAAGAAAAACGGATCGATTTATTGTCGTTGCTAACTTAAAAAAGAACTCTCAACAAGGTCTTAGTTGATCTTGACCCTTACCCAATGCCAAGGATTGACCACTTGTTCAACAAAATCGGCAAAGGCAATAGATATTTTACTACCCTCGATCTACAAATAGTGGCTACTGGCAAATTGAGATCGAAAAGCGAGACCGATACAAAACAGCATTTACATGGACGGACCAATGCTATCAATATACACGCCTGGCCTTCGGCCTTACATCTGCCGGACAAATCTTCTCCCATTGCATAGCAGAAGCCCTAGCCCCGTGGCAACATTTCTTCCTATATCGACGACAACCTGGTCCACGCTAGGACATTTAGGGAGTACATACTCTCTCTCAAACAATTTTTTACTGCCCTCCAAAAATTCGGACTCAAGCTGAATCCCGATAAATGTTTCTTCCTCGCATCAGAGGCAAAATTCCTCGGACGCATAGTAAACAGCGAAGGATTCAAGGCTGATCCAGAATACGTTCGTGCCATCAGGGAAATGAAACCTCCAACATCAAAAAAGGAATTACAAAGCCTTATCGGCCGTTTAGTGTGGATCAGACAATTCCTACAGACATGTCTTTACGAACAAATCAGGTCAGATATGTTTTCAAAACTTATGGGTCCCATACACGAACTCAACAAGGTTAATAAACCGTTTGTCTGGACGCAAAATGCCAACAAAGCCTTCAAAAAAATCAAGGACCGTCTCTCTTCGCCACCCATCATCTCGTTTCCAGATTTCTCCAAACTTTTCACACTCACCACCAACGCCAGTGACGTCGCATGTGGAGCAATCTTAATGCAAGAAGCCGACAACGGGAAGAAAGATATCATAGCGGTCGCTTCCCATACATTCAACTCCACGGAACAGAACTGGTCCACGACGGAACGAGGGGCATATGCAGTAAAGTGGGCAATATTGAAATTTGATTATTTCCTTCGCAACCACCCCTTCGTCATCTTCACCGACCACAGATCGCTGACATATCTGGACCAACGAGAGTTCAATAATGCCAAAATACGACGATGGCAAGAAGAAATTTCATGTTATAAATTCGTCTTGGAATATGTTGAAGGTGAATCAAATGTATGGGCTGACATGCTCAGCAGAGGCTGCGGACATAAGAAAACGAAAGCCCCGAACGACCCTACACCGGCAGGCAGGACATTCGAGGTAAGTGGTTCAGACCTCCGCGTATACATCCCATCTTGGTGCCTTGGTGAGTTTAAGGTTTACAGCTCATTCCCAAAACTCACACACCACAAGCGCATCACCAACACATTCTTCGCCTATCACTCCACCACCACCATCGCCACTGAGAGAATCTGCAACCACCTCGGCATCACAGATGAACAGCAGAAGGATGACGCCCTGGCAAAGATCATCAGCGCCCTCCAGTCACCCACTCCAAGCGAACCTCATATCGATCCTGACGACCACCAAGCTACGCTTTTCAAAAAACATTTCCACCAATTTTTTCTAGAACCAGGCACCTCCGTTTGGATGATAAGAGACAGTAAACACTCTCCGAGATTGGTTGTACCATACAAGCTACGACCCAGATACCTCTACCAGGCGCACAAGGGCAACAACCACTCAGGTGTTACCCGTATGCAAGAACTCCTTTCCAGCTACTGGTGGGAATTCAAAAACCGCGACATCAAGGCCTATGCCAATTCTTGTGACATGTGTGCTAAGTTCAAGGGCAACTACGGTAGACATACCCGCTGGCCCACTGGCCACTGCAAACGAGGAAAGAGACCATTTGATCTCGTCTTTATAGACTTTGTCACAATGCCCAACTCAAAGGGAAAATGCTACATCCTAACCATCAGCCGACATTTTACAGCCATACAATGCACGAGAGACCGTGCTATCGATGCCGCCCACGGATTGTACCATTTCTTCCTTCGACACAGAGAGATTCCACGCATAGTATCCTCTGATCGAGGCACACACTTCACTGGAGAAGTCTATCAACAATTCTGTAACCAGATGTCAATCACGCAAGAACTTCACTGTCCTTGGTGCCCGCAAAGCTCAGGAAATATCGAGAGACAACATCGCACGATGAAGAACGCACTTTATATGTTATGCGAAGACAGGAATTGTGAATGGACAGGCGTTCTAGAATCTGTCGTTTCGTCCATGAATGCCACGACCAACAGCGCCACCGGTGTCTCCCAAGACTATGCCTTTACCGGCCGTCACCCCAACATCGGCCTACCTACACTACACAGAAAAGAAATCAAGCGACGATCCTGGAGCATATGGAATGCAAATTAATGCCCTGCTAAAGCAGGTTCACCACCACGTCACCCTGGCCAACGATGAAGCTGACCACAAACTTGAGACTAACTTAAATCGCCTCACATACAAGGACCCAATACAAGAAGCGACAACGTTTTACTTCATCAGCCACACTCAACTGTTGCCCAATCCTCTCATCTGCCCTGGATAGGAAATTACACCATTATAAAAACGAACAATATGATGTGTCAGGTGCAAAACGATGATGGTGATACAATCTGGATTCACTGTGCACATATCCGACGACTGGCTCCACACCCAACACATCTTTCTAATACAATCCCTCTGCCTCCACCATGTAACAGTCACCAGGATCATTCTCCTCCACATCCCTCGGGGACACATAATTCAGCAAATAACCCCATACCAAAACAAATGCCAATAAGAAGAACACGAGGACAACTTCCCACATGCTTCAGAGACTTTATCATGAATTAATCACCCAAATATACACGAATAATGCTCACTATAAATCAGACCGAGATCTGGGGGAGCCTTGTTATAAAATAAAATAAGACATATCTCGGCTGATTTACAGGCAAATACTAAAGAGCGAGAGCCGGATGTGAATGGGACAAAACCCCGTCACAAAATGACCATTATCTTTCTTCACAAATGTTTCCGACACACGTGTTCCGGTCGAAAAATAAAATAATATTTAAAGCGTTCTATTTTTCGTCCAATAAAAATGCTTCCCTCCTAATTATACTTGCTTTGTTTTTCGAGCCTGTTAAGCCATAAAAAAAACGCTATAAAAGGGGTCACACGGAAGTTCAACAGGCAGTCAACAGGTGGCCAGGGAACTGACCTGTCATGGTAAGCAGCTGTCAGCAAGGGAGCATCAACCACCGTCAACATGTGAGAACTACTATGAGAGATCGACCTAGATCCGAAGCCGGCTTATGAACTTTACCACAAGGTAGCTGTCCCAAACCCTCACGTTCCTGTTGAAATAAACCACGTAAATCTATTTCTGCTGTTGTCATATTTCTTTCTTGCAACCATACGGTTGTCTGTAACAATAACTTGAAAGATAAAGTTGACTTTCATAGGAAACTTTCTCTTGGCATATCATTATAAAAAGATCTGAATTTTATTGTAAGAGTTACCAAAAGAAATCCATAAATAGTTGATGCCAGCCAAATTTTATAAGCACTACTTGTATTTGTTCAACAACAGTTGAACAAATAAGTAGCCAATCATGAAATTATAAATCTCTCTGTGACAAATACATCATCAAAACTGATTTGTGAAGAAATGGATTTAAATCAATGATAGTGTAAGTTTTCAGGGGTTTATTTCAACACAAATTTATAGATTTTCCTATTCAGTGTAGAATGTTGTTGTATATTTGTTTTGAGTCTGTAAACTTGTCTTTGATAGAACTTATTGTATTCTGAAATTGGTTATTTTTTCCCCTCTAAGGTAGGTAATTAAGATTGATAACTTAAAATTGCTTCACAAATTCCAGTGTAATATCATCTAAGCTAAACTTGTAGCAGTCCATCAACCTATACATTTTTACTACAGTCCATTCTGTAAAATGAAAATGGATGAAATAAGTTTGAATGTTATTCACATGATGAGACATTCAGTATTTTCTATATAAAACAAATACAAATATTTTATAAATAAATTTAACCTTTTATTTTACCATACTATTTTGACATGCATGCTCAGTTTTTTTCATAGGTGCAAACTTATTTATCCATAGAGCCAGGGAAATGAGGATAACTGAAGCTTCATGGATTATACAGGTAGCAGAGTTCTAGGTTCAAATTTCTAGCTCATTTTGTGATTATTTATCAAACTTCATTTTATACTTCATTTTGTTTTGTGGTTCTATGAGGTGTCATACAATTCTAAAAATATTATTGCATTCTTGATATGATTGATATGAATATGAAAGATGAAAATCAGTTTCTTACTTTTCCATATTCTTCATCACTGTTGTTATTTTGTGACATAAAAATGTAAACAAAATTTAAGCAATCAGCGATTTAGGAAAAATCAATGATTAATTTTAAACAAATTTTACTGTTGTTTCTGCATTCCAAATGGAAGCAAATTTACCCAAAAACAAGCAGAACAGGAACTATATACAAATAATAGGGCTCAGATTGCCTAATAAACAGAATGTAATTTTTTTATCTGTCTAACAATTTTTAATTTTAATTGTTTTAAAAGCAAAATAGTTTACACTCTAATAAACATCATTTTTTGTACCCCTCTTCTAAAAGGAAAAAGTTGCCTAATATCAACAGGTTTAATTTGTTCCAAAAGAAAAGGTTGGAACACAAGATTAGTTAAAGTCTTTAATAGTGAATTAATACAAAATGTAAAAATAATTCATATGCAGAGTGTACCAGATAAATGAGAAAAAATTATAGAAAGATATTCAATAATATTTTCTTATTTTTGGAAGAGTCCATTTTTAAAATATATTTTATACATATTAAACTTGGAAAAAATAGAAAGAAGGTTATTCAACAAATTGTCTTCAATATTGAGGATAGACACAGTAGTTCTCAACTGGAAGCAACTGTCTGAATGATGTGGTTCTCATTTATGTTGGTCATCATGATGGTATTGTAGAGCTGCTGGTTGATCTCTTTCTTAATGATGCCCTTGACATAGTAGTCAAAAGATTCAAATCAAGAAAGTTATGTTGGTTAGTTGGGGATGGTGACATGATCATGAAATCACTTTTATTTAGGTAGTGGCATTGACTCTGACGTACTACATGAAAAAGTTTGATCCCTCGTTTGTAAGCCACAGGACCATCACAGACAAAGTAGGTAGCATTATGGCTATCTCTGTTGGGTAATTCCTCCTGGTACTTTTAAGAAGCTTACTATCACCAAGTCACAGCTAGTACCATGAACATGTCTTGCCTTTTCCTGTGTTTGACTGGAAAATCGATATGACCCACAGAGAAATGAGAATGTTACAATTTAGTGCATGTTGTATAACAATACATATGGTCATTTTCTACATATTGCTCATTAAAGATGTGTTCTCATAATTGCAACAAAAAGCGTAGATGAATGAAGATAATATTACTTTCCATAAATAAATACAGTACATTTTCATTGTCAAATATAAGATTATCAGAAAGTATTTTGATGAATGTTTTTGGAAGGGATATTATAGGCCTCCATACATTTATAAAACAACAGTATTCAATCAGATAAAACAATGAAATACAGGTAAACTTTACCTTCGTTCTAATATTTGTCGGCCATTGGCATCAGTATAGAATGTTTTATTGGTATTCTGGTCAGAATCATAACGAACAATAATTTCCTTGCCTTGTTTGTCACTGAAATTATAAAAAGAAAAATATTCTTCAAATGATTAAAAATTCTTTGTAATAAAAAGAAATATGTCTATTTGGTAATCTTTTCCATATAAAATAAGGTTTATGTCTGGTATTGTAGCAGGTAATATAGAAAAACAGACAAATGTAACTAACATTTGACAGCTAATTATTCTATATTATAAAAGAAAAGCTGATTCTTTGTCACATACTAATGTATGCCATTGTTAATTTTCAGCCATTAAATTTTATTTCCCCTATCAATGTGAGTTTCTTCTTCTGTCATTTTACCATGTCTTCAGCTATAACTTATGTTTTTTCCTTCTTCTAATTTTTTTGTTTCAACACATTTCCATCATATATATATATATATATATATATATATATATATATATATATATATATCTCCAAATGACCTGAAGAACAGATGAAGTAAAATTCTGCTGTTTGTGGCATTTACTTAAAAAAAAAAGTGCTCAATACAAAGTAGAGCAGTATAGTGCAGTTACTATCATTTATATCTTATATAGAGGTTCCACATTTTTAATTAAATCTACAGGTTCCTTTAAGAAGCTTCCTAAATCAAAAAATTAAAAAAAAATTTTCTGTTGAAATTAACTTTATGTCTGATCCCCTCCTTCGAAAAATTGAACATGTCATACAATCTCAATATATTTCTTGCTTACATTTTTCCATAATTGTCAAAAATAACCAGTCTAAGTTCTGGTTTATCATGTCATGAAAAAAATAACTTTCCCACAATCAACTTCTGAGCTTAATTTTCAATTTAGCATAGATCTGACATTTAATTGGTTAAAATCAAGATAAATATACATACTATTTTTTAATTCTGACCATGTGTTTTATATTTGTATAAACCAACTTTATCTTTTAGAAAAGAGGTAGAATTCAATGTCCAGGAAGAGTAAGGATTTAAAAAACTATTTAAAACACTAATTTTCCATGGAATAATTTACAAATTGGAATCATAAAACACAAAATTCCTCAGACCTACATTGCAATTTCAACAGGTTTTGTTTATTTCTAATATAAAATAAATATATATATATATAATTAATTATTTAAAAAAAAAAATTTTATAATATAAATATGTTATAAAATCACTACAAAAATAGCCATTTTGTTTCAACAACCTCGATGTCTTATCAAGTGATGATGTTGAATGTAAAATAAATGGTTTTAAAAAGTTTCAAATTAATTAACGATCCTTCACAAGGGGAAAACATTGTTACAAAAGCTAGAATGACCAATCAAAATACAAGTATAGGAAAATTTCAAAAAGCTTGACAACGAAATCATGTTATAATAGCTATTCAGATCTTTAAAATATGGGTAATATTAAAAAGAATTTATTCTAACCAATAATTATTAAATTATATGATAAAATTTGATATTAAAATTAAAAACTGCCAATTTGAAAAATCCAAATTTAATCATTATTAAGTTTAAAAACTATAAAATCACTGAGGAGAAAAGAAGAAATACATATGTTATTCAATTTATTTCTTCATTGAAATTACGTTAGAACAGACGCTACAATATCCGGTCATCTGACAATACATGTATATACATTTTAATCCCAAGTGTGTGAATGGGGTCTTAAACTCAAACTTCAAAAAAAAAAAAAAACACAATCAGATTATAATAGACTTATTTAGATATATATATATACACACAAAAAAGTGACGAGACAGGAACATCTCCACGGCCCTTTATGAAAAAAAAAAAAATGGAAACCAACACCCACATACATACACAATTAAAAGTGAACGCACTTTCCATACACATAGACAACGATAAATACATTTACACACATCCACAGACATTGACCTAGGCAATCAGATACCACAACCAATAAATATTTAAGACAAAGTATCATTAAACAAATGCTAGCCACTTATTAAAATATAACAAATATACAAAGATAGAAATGGTTAAAAATAATATTATTTAATATATTAAAATGAAAATTCCAAAACCACAAATATCAATAAAAAATATATTTTAATCATATAAGTTGATAATAGTTTTATTATAAATTAGGCGAAGGAAAACAGGATAAAAAGGAAACCTACAGAAATAAGTGTACTGTCTTACATATATACACATATATACACATGACAAACAAACACAAACTAACACACACATATATATATATATATATATATATATATATATATATATATATATATATATATATATATATACACAGAAATACACACATATAAATATATAAACATAAATATAAACACACATATACATATCTATAATAACAAGTACACATATATACACACATATTAACACAAATTTATGCACACATACTCACATATATATATACACATCCGGTCAGTCCGTTTAGGCTTGCTACTACCCATTCATTACTTCTTTCAACCTCCCTCTCTATCTCATCTTTTAAAGAGCTTGTCCATCCATCACTTCTCTCCTTCCCCGCCTTCTCTCATATCATCCCTCTTGCTTTACCTTCTACCTGTCAATCTAATATATCTGTCTGGTGTATTGTCTCCATTTACTAAGAGATTTCCATCTGAAGAGATGAATATTTCACTATTCACAAAATAAATTATAACCAAAATGAATATTTAAGGTTTTCTTCTCTTTTTTTTTATTTTTATAATGCTCTGTAGTCTACATTGAGTTCTCCCTGGATTAATATTCTCCTTGGAATTATCCCTACCAGTATATATATATATATATATATATATATATATATATATATATACACACACACGTCTGCATTAATTATTTTCACATTAATTTAATGTCACTTCTTCTCGATATTGCTACATTTAATGGATGTTTTTCTAGCATGGTAAACTGACAAGGAATTTTCTCCACATTTTTTTGGATATTTCGACTTATACCAAGTTAAAATTTTATATCAGTTTCCCTCCCCTAGTTCACACTCTGTTCCTTAATTAACTAGTTGCATGACCTTAATGTAACTTGCCAACCAGAAGAAAGCTTATTGTATATGTGTGAGCAGACACTCACACATGCAGGATTATTCAATCATCAGTGATACACATGTCTGGTCAGTGATATACTTGTATGAATGTTGTCATGAGTAGTGACATATTTATTCAAGGTGAGGAGATCTGCAAGGTTAAAAAACTGAATTAAATGAAGTTAAAGGCCCAGGTTTTATGACATAGAACTGCGAAAAAACATGAAAGGCTTGATTGCGTTTAATGATGACTAGAATTAAAATGTAGAAAAAAGGAAGAAACTGGATGCAAATATTAACTTGGAGATAACTTAGTAATTAGGTACAAGCATGTATACCTGCTACACTCACCAAGTTGGATATAAATGACAACAATAAGTAATAAATTAGTTCCTAAGATGAAAATCAGAAATCATCTGTAAAAACCTCTTCAGACTAAATTGTTTACATAAAGATCAGATTGATGTTGTTTCTCAAGCAGAATAATTTTGATGAAAATAACATAAAAGGAAAAAAACTCTGACAAAGCCAAGGGGCTGTGCAGTTGGTTATCAAAAAGACAGTCAAATGACTAAGGGCTACATGATGATGAAATTAATGGTCAAATAATAACAATACATCATTGGAGATAAGCTGGTGGTTGGGTATAAAATTATTTATATATATATATATATATATATATATATATATATATATATATATATATATATATATATATATATATATTGATGATACTTTTTTCCATGTTTGATAATATAAAAGAGGCAACTCTTTTTCACCAACAGGTAAATTCTTTACATCCATCCCTGGTATTCACGATGGAGGTGGTGGAGAATAATTCTCTCCCTTCTAGATGTTTTGGTTAACCGTAAAGACAGAAAGTTTATTACTAGTATTTATCATAAACCAACATTTACTGGTTTATACACTAGTTGGAACTCTTTTGTCCCCTGTTCTAGAAAAAGTCAACCTCCATCAAACCTTAAATGATTTGTTCCCTTTGCATTCTTCAGCAAGAGTTACATAGAATTCATTCTATTATTATTAATAATGGTTATCCTACTAATATTATTAAACGTATGATGGAACATAAGATTGAATGCTTTAGTAAATCCCGTGTTCAGGCCTAGTCTGTGTTCGATTTATTTAAAATTACCTTGGCTTGTTGGAAAATGTCAAACTCTAATTGATAGAGTTTCTAATTCTTTTCCTCCACTTTCTTTTCAACCAAATTGTGTGTTGTTTTCGGGACCTGCCCTGTTTTTCCTTCCTTTGTTAAGAACCAGTTGTCTTAAAAGTTCTTTAATTTACAAAATTAAATGTCAGTGTGAAGCTGAGTATATAGGACGAACTTGTCTAAGATTGAAAACATGGCTAGGTCAAACCATACCTACATTTATCAGATTATATTAATATAATCTGATAAATGTAGGTACTCATGTTTTGTAATCAGCACATGAATCTGTGATTGGACAATATCTATTAGAGAATAAACTGTGCTCCTAGCAATTTTCTACTGACTCATTCTATTTTGCATATGGCTTGGTCCAAACACCAACTGCAAGTGTTGAAAGTTGCCTGTATTAAATTACAACAGCTGTCTCTGTGTAAGCAGAACTTTCTTCGGTCACTCCAAATATTTGGAGGATCGAGAATATCTATATATTTTGTTTTACACTCATGTTGGAGTATTTATATCTTTTCTTAAATTTACATATATTTTAATTGTGAATTTATATTTTAGACGTGCTGTAAATTTTCCTCCATTTCTTACTCTTTCTAATACCAATTCAGATATAATAATTTTGCCAACATTGATCCCTGATGAAGTGTTGGACAAAAGATACTTAGGCTCAAAAAAAAACAAACAAACAAAAAACAAAAAGAACACTAAATTTGTGTATATGAAATGGACAAAGTCTGACAATTATTTTTTTTAAGACATTTTTTATGTCTATACATTCTTTTTAAAGATACAAATATTTAAGTAAATGCTCTGTTTATAATAAACAGTATT